ACCAGCCTAAATTAACCCAAAACCTGAAGGAAATTGCCAGTATTCGTGCGACCTTCTGAATCTTTTCCTATTCTTAGACCATTCTCGTTTATTCGTCCCATTTAACATTTTCTCTAGTTGCACCAAGCAAAAACTCTGTATTACTCAATAACATAAACAATATTATTGATTATGTAAATATAAACTATTGTTATTCATGCGCGAGAAAAAGTCAAGTGTGCACACATGGGGCGAATCGATCATAGCACTGAAGGATGCGGTAGACTTTCGAGGGCCAGTTTTTTTTAAATTTTTTTTCCATGTCGGATTAAACATTATCATTTTAACTATAATTTCCAAGAAAACTTTTGGTAAAATATTAAAAAATAAAATATTAAAAACAAAAACGTATTTTGGAAGAGAATTCTTTACCCGGCAAAGTGTGAATAGCCATTTATAACATGTCAATATTTATGACTACCGATGGGTTTCCTTTTGCGGCAAAACATCCTGATCCATAAGCTAAAGCGGAAAACACTTGCAAACATGAGAAGACACAAGTGCTTTGCACTGTAAGTATTAAGCCCGCTGGGCTCGTCTTTTTCAGGTGTGATAATCCCGAAGTTAATTTGATTTAATCTCATTAAATATGTCATGGGCCGACTAACTTAAATTATCAACACTCTCGAGTTAGCAGCTGGATAATGTTACTATGTCGATATTCGAATGTCATGGTTTTTGCCCGCCTATCTTTTCTTTGCAGTTTCGTATTTCAAACGCGTGATCCAGTAGCAGTAGAGATGGCACCTAGGAAGGGTTTCTCGCCCTTCACTCCGGTCATCAGCCCTGAATTAAGTCCACAATCGACTTAGTTCATTCTAAGTTCGAAAGTTTGTGGATCAACGCCGACGCAATACTTTAAGCGGTCGCCTGTTGTCGCCAGTTTTCCAAGCGATTTTCAAAGAATCGACAGTGCCCACATTCGGCTGCTAGATGGCCACCATTACTCGAACAAGAAGTCCTCTAATGCAACGGAAATTGTCTGTTCCTCGTTTGGGTTGATAACCACTCTGCTTCGCCGTTCCTCTTCAGAAAGCTCTGAGTTCATTTCGCAGCTGAGAGATTTGCTGAACTCAGTATATCTCAGTAAAATGTCTATCGACGAAGAAAATGAAGGCCAAGCAAACAAAGAACGACCACGTGCTTCACGATGCTTGGAAATGCCAACGACACCAACGAACAAGACATCATCTGTGGCCATGACACCCCCAAACAGTGGAAACTCGCAAAGAGCTGAAAAAAAGAATGTTTCCCCAAATCTAAAGGAGATCAGCGAAAAGGAAGATTTGGATACTCCAGAAAAGGTGCTGTTGATGAAGCAGCGAAGCAGTCGCGTCATCAAGGACGTGCATAACGTGTGCGAAAGAAACAGGGAAAGTTTGACGATGGTGCTTTCGAACATGTGCGCATTTGGCGACCCAGAGGCGAAGGCCATCGTCAATGAAATTGTCGAAGAGATGGCTGTAAAAATGGGAGTAAAGAGGAGTGTGGAAGAGCTAGTTGGCGACGACACAATGTCGAAGTACGTGGCGTGCCTGAGAGTTCCTGATTGGAAGCTTGTCCTTTTCCAGGCGATGGCGAGAGTTTCTTCGAAAACGTGGCAATCCGTGATAAACATCACAGGGCTCAGAAGGACGGGGGTAAGATGTTTAGTTACGTTGGTCTTACGTCGGTATATTAATATTCATACTTGGCGCCCCGTCTAAGGGAATAAAAGAACAAAAAAAGAACTATTCCATCGCGAGCCTCAATGTTTATAGCAGCTCTTTCTTTTGTTTTATTCAGTTATTCTCGTAAGCGAAGCCTTGTACAGGAAAAGATAAGCAGGCTTTTTTTATTACTTAAGCAGGCGTTTTACTCAACTGCGTCTTCAAAATTACCCTAGGTCTGTTTTCCAGAGCAATTTCAGCCAGTGGTAAGCTCTTTTTCAGCTGGTGAAATATGCTGGAAGCCGTATGATAATCATCCACATATTTTTTTTTTGTGTGTGTGTGTGTTGTACTTCCAAATCAAAATAACTATAACTGTTAAATTTTTTTGGCCTTGCAAGCAGTTCTTTGTATGGAAGGTGGTCATTATAATAATGTGTAAGGTGAAATGGGTTGGTGAAGGGTGCAGTTTTTGTCTTGACTAATTTAGTGTAAAAAATTGTTTTGCAGGTAGAGCTCATATGTTGTTTGGAATTGTTCCCCGTGATGGTGCTGTATATAGCCAGCAAAGTGCAAAATCAGTCTACACATTGACAATTGCCAACTGTAAAGAAGACAGGTTTGTGAATTGCAACTTGCTTGAACTCTTTACTACCTTCTGGCTAGAATATGCTTGTGGTTGTATGTGCATTTAACTTAAATAACACAATGACAGATTTTTGTAAGCCCCACTCAGTTGCAATATCACCAGGTCATGCATCCACTCTGAGATCTAAGTGGATTGATATCAATATCCCTAATTTGGCTTTAATGCACTAAATATAATAATGACTGTATAGATTTTTGGTTTTTGTTTGTTGACAGATACAACCTCAAGATTCTTTTTGAGGACATCAACCACCAGAAGAAAATATTAAAGGAAAAAGGAATGACAGTTGATGGTAGACATTACACCGTTGAATTTCTGGGTAAGAATCAATGTTAGTCTTGGAATTTGCTTTAAAAGTCAACTTCTTGTTCATGATACTATTTATAGCAATTTATTGTGTTTCTACCCAGTTGGTAGTCTGACTAGAACTAGATTGAAGCAGTAGTCAAACTATAGTAAATTAAGAGTTTTTTATATTGTAAAACATGTTCAAGGTTTAACTGCAGCAGCAAGAAATAAAACCTGGAATTTATTACTATTTTACGTCAGAAATTGATTTGACTACCCTTTTCTTTAGATACATTAGAGATTAATTTCCTGGAAAGTTTAGCATGTTAACTTTTGCTTTCCCATTTCTGTTATCAAACTTAGTTGTACTGGACTACAAGACCTTGGTACTTCTTTTGGTGAAGAAGATGAATGCTTCATTCATGTTAGGTGGTAGAGGTGTCAGTGTCGAGTTCTGTTTCATCTGCAATGCTATCAGGGTAAAGTACTCAAATGATATAGAAATTAGTATGGGGCAACTGCAACTTGTGCTGTTAAAGTTGAGGTACATAAAAGTGCTGCATCAGTTCATCAACTTTTTTACAGTGATTTCAGATGACTTTGATCTTTACCAATATTTGGGAAAATAATTAGTGAGTGATAGAAACATCAAGTAGCTTTAATTCAGTCAAAAAAAGTTGTAAAGTACTTCTCTAAAGGTCATTCTGCTTTTAAAACATTTAAAAATCACTGAAAGTATGAATACATGTACTGTAAAAAGAACAGGGCTCACACAGAGTCATAAATTCTTGGAAAAGTCTTGATTTTCCAGACCTGGAAAGAGTCTTGAAATTGAAGATAATGTCTAGAAAAATAGTTCAAGTCTGGAGTTTTTTTTTATAGCTACAAAAAGTGCTTAATAAGTTCATTTTTTTCCCCTGTGGTCAATTCAATCTCGCCTGTAGCTAAGACATTCAATCACAGAATGAGAAGTTTCACAATTGCACCATGGTTATTGTACATTTGCAGTGCATCATGAAAGAAGCTTGGTTTCTGCATTTTTCAAGATCTCTATTGATCACCTATTTGACCATCTTCAGTCTGGAAAAATAAATTGATGTTTTGGAAAAAAGGTCTGGGAAAAGTCTTGAATTTTGGATCCAAAAATCTGCATGAACTCTGAAGAAGATAATCGGAAGCATGATAAATGTGTAGTTCTATCTGAAATTATAATATTATAAATTATTTGATAGTGTGCCTGTTTTTGTCAGGGTTGCAAATGCCATGATGTTGCTCCAGATGAGACATGCCTGGATTGCCTCAGAAGCAAATGCAACATGGGAAGGTGTGTAGGCATTTGATCATTGTCATATTAAATTACATTCAAACACATAAAGGGGATTTTCTTACTGTTACATAACAAAATGAATTTTGTAAGCCATGGGGAAATGACTTGTACTAAAGCATGAACTGAAATTAAGTGTGTAGTTTGGGGTTTTTTTTTTAAATTGTTGCTAGTAAACTAAAATCCTCATTCAGGATCTTTTGCCAAACTTGGAAGGTTGCCAAAAATTGTTTTCATACTGTCAGGAAAGGAGTACTCATAGTTTGGTAATTGAAAAAGAAAAAGAAAAACATTTTTAGAGAAAAACATGAAATAATTCATTGCTTCAGAAAATCAATCATTCTTTGAAATTGTCTTGTAGATCAACTGGTATACGAGATGATCTGGTTTTTCTTTTGGACGAAGAGCTTTGCAACATTCAACTTTGTGCTCTCCATATGGAGATGCGCAACACTGAACAGTTGTTGGCATCCATTGGTCTTCTTGCATACAGGGTAGATTCCCTAGCAGAGGCCAATGCTGCCTTGAAAAACTATGGCCCAGAGTCATTTCATGGCGATCGCATCTCAGTAAAGAAGAAGTCAGATCAACAGTCTGCTATTACAAAGCAGAATATCCATGTCAGTTCAATGTCTGGTAAGACATTTCCTAAAATAATGTTTTCAAGAGATGTTTTCCATAGGTCTTAGGTAAAATCTTTTTTTTTTCTTTTTTAATTTACTCTCATGCTGTTGTGTTTCAGGTCCAACAGATCGGGAAATCCTTCAACACCTTGAAGAAATTGTAGAACTTGCCCTACCACTGGATAAATTCAAGAAGCCGTATGAAGATGTGAACACGGCAAAAAATTTGATCCTTAACAGAGTTACATTTTACCAGGCTCGTGTTGATGTTAGTAAGAAGCAACTATTATTTTTATACTTGCAACTTGATTTAACATCATGTAGTCAAGATCATTGGTAATGTGTATTCATTGAGTTCATACAGCGTCCAGACGATCCGTCGGAGTGCGCTTTAGGAATCAAATACCTCTGTGAGTATTTCTTTAATTGCTACAGTCTCCTATGTAATTTGCCCATCTTATGACTAATTCCATCACACAGCAGCTTGAAATTAATGGAGCTCCATTAACTGAAAGCTACTGCATGTAGGAATATAGGTGAGCTCAGGATTGAAGTGTGAACCATTGTTTAATTTTAGCATGTCTGATTCTGTTTTTTAACACACCTTAAAGTGTAGAGTAACACAGAATTTTCTATAGTTAGAGATCCATAGGTGCAGTGTAACCCAGTGTTTAATTTAGTTCAAGGTAACTAACATAGGCTGCACTTTAGGTGGTACACCCATGGGTGCAGTGTAACCCAGTGTTTAATTTAGTTAAAGGTAACCAACATAGGCTGCACTTTAGATGGCACACCCATGGGTGCAGTGTAACCCAGTGTTTTTGTTTTTTTTAAAGGTAACTAACATAGGCTGCATTTTAGGTGGCACACCCATGGGTGCAGTGTAACCCAGTGTTTTATTTAGTTCAAGGTCACTACTGTAGGCTGCACTTTAGGTGGCACACCCATAGGTGCAGTGTAACCTAGTGTTTTCTTTAGTTAAAGGTAATTAACATAGGCTGCACTTTAGGTGGCACACCCATGGGTGCAGTGTAAACCAGTGTCTTATTTAGTTAAAGGTAACTAACATAGGCTGCACTTTAGGTGGCACAACCATGGGTGCAGTGTAACCCATTGTTTTCTTTAGTTAAAGGAAACTTACTTTGGCTGCATTTAGGTGGTACACCCATAGGTGCAGTGTAACCCAGTGTTTTCTTTAGTTCAAGGTAACTAACATAGGCTGCATTTTAGGTGGCACACCCATGGGTGCAGTGTAACCCAGTGTTTTATTTAGTTAAAGGTAACTACTGTAGGCTGCACTTTAGGTGGCACACCCATAGGTGCAGTGTGACCCAGTGTTTTCTTTAGTAAATGGTAACTAACATAGGCTGCAATTTAGGTGGCACATCCATGGGTGCAGTGTAACCTAGTGTTTTATTTAGTTAAAGGTAATAAACATAGGCTGCACTTTAGGTGGCACACCCATAGGTGCAGTGTAACCCAGTGTTTTCTTTAGTAAACGGTAACTAACATAGGCTGCACTTTAGGTGGCGCACCCATGGGTGCAGTATAACCTAATGTTTTATTTAGTTAAAGGTAATTAACATAGGCTGCACATTAGGTGGCATACCCATGGGTGCAGTGTAGCCCAGTGTTGTATTTAGTAAAGGTAACTTCCTTTGGCTGCACTTTAGGTGGCACACCCATGGGTGCTGTGTAACCCAGTGTCTTATTTAGTTAAAGGTAATTAACATAGGCTGCACTTTAGGTGGCACATCCATGGGTGTAGTGTAACCTAGTGTTGCTAATGAGTGACTGTAACCCAGTTCAGTTTTTTCTAGAAAGTGCTGTCCTTTAAGTAGCATAAAGACATGCAGACATTCTCTTTAAGACAATGAAATTGGTGTGAGGGAACATTTCTTCAAGTAGTATGGTAGCACAATGTTATGTAATTAATGCATTTTTCCAAATGTTTAGTACTTTTCAGGAGCTTTAAGCAAGGGCACTTTTGTAAGAGATTTTGGTACACATACTGAGATAATTGATTTGGAAGGCTCAGGTTTGTAGAACAACAGTAGTAATAACACTTTGTTTTTTCTTTGGTTACAAGTTCTGATTTTTTCTCACTGGCTAAAGAAGGTTTACCATACTATAATATGACTTAATTGAGTGTTTTATGCTGAAATATAAAAATTTTGGAAAATGAGTTTGGAAAATATTAAAATAATTAAACTTATTGCTAATGATGAGCTTAGGAGCTGGTACCTTAAAGGTTAGTGTGAACCCACTGACCAGCTTTGCTCCAGTTTAACTTTGCCTAAATGATATTTAGCCACATCAAAAGGAGCTTTTTGTTTTTAATTCCTCAAAAATATTTACCCAAGGAAAACAAAATGTTTACTTGCAACAGTTATTTGAATGATGTGATAACATATAGGGCCTCTCATTACAGTCTTTCTCAGGTCTTATTTCAGGTTTTGGCTATTTTGCAGATATTAAAGCTGACATGGAGCCTCGCCTTGTTCAGTGGCAAGGCAAGTTGGATGAGCTACATGTCTTTTTCAAGAAGTTGTGCAAGTCACGCATAAAGTCACTATTCACTATTCACTATTGTTTTTCTTGCGTTAGATCTGCTTTTTTCGATTCGATTGCACCTTGACTATTTTATTTAAATGAGCAATTTTTAAAAGACAGAAAATGTCCTTCTTTCAATAACGTGGCGGAATAAAACAATTACACAACGATGTTACTATGATACCTTTTGGTACGATATATTTTATTTTTGACCAGCACTGTTATGCCTAATTTTGTCCATAAACGGACAAAATTGCTCCGATTTTGAGACGACATTACAGCTTTTTGGCAGCGATCGCCAAGAAACTGAATGTGCCACGGAATTACACCCAATTAAGAAATATATTTTCTCCCTTCCAGCAGTCATTAGAAAGCCGTTTTGTCCCCTCAAAATCGGATGTAGTTCACACGTTAAGGGTAATAAACTGATAAAAAATGATTTACAATTATCCTGTTGTCAATAGGTTCTTATTCACGTAAGCTGGGTCATAAACTATTTCTTGCGGCAGAATCATGGGGAAGAAGTTGTCCTTCATTTTTAAATCGCTGAAATTGTAGTAACTAAACCTTGAATGAAACTATTGTAGGAAGATTCATTACTTGACGAGGGAATTCCGCATTTAATTGCACGCGAAAAGCGATACGCGAAGCGATGAGTGCGATATCGGTTTTTAAGTGCAATTTAACGCGGAATTCACGAGCCAAGTAATGGATTTTCCTTGAATCACATATTTGAATAAAAACAAGATAAAAAGAAAACAGCATTACTTATATTTGTTATGTATACGTGGATGCGAAACAATATCACTTAGCCCCGCTAAACAACTCGCCTCGTCAACCAATCAGAAGGCGAGATTTTATGTAATGATGCGATTCTATCTGATATTAGGTCTGCTGACTTGGAAAATACTACACCTAAAATTTAACATCAGCAATCTTACGAGAGAAAGCATAAAGGCTAGGTCTCTCTGACGGCTTATCTCTGGTTGACATTTTAACCAATTCTCGGACCCTTTCATAAAAACCCAACAAAGATGATATCGCCTTAAGCATTCTTCCCAATGAAAAAATGTCACTGGCAACGCCATAGAGTCGTTCACTAACAACCTCAGGGGCTAAATAACTTTTCCCTTTGCATGTCATAACGGTGCCGTTTCTGCGGTACAACGTAACAGATGAAACCTTAAGGCTCTTTCCAAAGTCAATAAGAACTGGGCTGAATTCCCCAGAGGCTGAGGGCCGTTCTAGTACGGGCGACCCTAAAAGCCGGAACGGCGGAATGGCGGAATGGCGGAAAATGACCCCAAATCCTAAAGCACGGAACGGCGGAAAGTGACCCCAAATCCTAAAGCACGGAACGGCGGAAAATGACCCCAAATCCTAAAGCACGGAACGGCGGAAAATGACCCCAAATCCTAAAGCACGCAACGGCGGAAAATGACCCCAAATCCTAAAGCACGGAACGGCGGAAAATGACCCCAAATCCTAAAGCACGGAACGGCGGAAAATGACCCCAAATCCTAAAGCACGCAACGGCGGAAAATGACCCCAAATCCTAAAGCACGCAACGGCGGAAAATGACCCCAAATCCTAAAGCACGGAACGGCGGAAAATGACCCCAAATCCTAAAACACGGAACGGATGCCAGGGCATGTTGCACAAATTTCGTACAAAGACACCAAGCGCTTAGCTCATTTATCCTCACGACGATAACGCGCGTGACTAAAATTAAGTGTCACTAATTTTTTTTCTTTTACTGAGTGGTATAAATAATAATGAACCATTATGCATGAAAGATAGCTGCGTTTTCGCGTTGTAAACCTGTTTAGCTACCTTTTGTTATGCAAAATTTGCCATGAGTTTGTCGCGGCATAAAAAGTCGCACAGCATGTGGAAACCAACTCGACATACCACACTACAATAAACAATTATAACTTTGATACGTTTCCTGGTCACGTCTGCATTGATTTATTGAAACAATAATATCTCATATGCTTGTAAATGTGAGAACATCACAGGAACGTTTTCAGGCTTCTCAAAATATGACAACGTTCAGCCCAAGCTCCAAACTTAGACTAGCGTAAGAAAGTTAGCAGAAGGAAGCCGTCAAGAAGAATTTGAAGAAGGGAGCGAAGTCGAAAAACAAATATTCAAGCATCATTGCACACGGTTCCGTGCACACAGCTTGAAACCTAACGATATGTTCACTTTTATTCCCATGGAGTATTTTTGCCTCTTTGAGGAAAAGACGCTTTTCCTTCTCGTCCTCACCTTACAGTTTTTTGATAACGACCTTCTCAGAATTGTTTCTCGCCACAAAAACCAAACCATAGGATCCTCGACCGATAGCCTCTTCTTTGTCTCGCAACTGCTTCCACTCGAATAATGGTAAACCATGACAATCCAAAGATCCGTCTGAATTACACTTCCCTTTCAGAAAGGGCAATTTAAACGCCATAGAGTTGACGATTTGCAATTTGTTGAGGAACAGAAGAAATCCGCTGAACGAATTGGTGAAATAGCCTCTTTTTTGTTTAGAAAGTTTATTTCTTCAGCTGATATGTAAGCCGTAAATTTCACAGTAGGATGGTGGTGTTTTGGACACCAGGTCGCGAAGAAATTCTTCAAATTCTTCTTGACGGCTTCCTTCTTCTAACTTTCTTTTGTCTTTTCACGCCATGAGAAATTCCCACGCGCGTGACACCCTGCAAACCTCTCTTCAACTAGTGTTACTCAAGTCCCAAAACTTATTCGTGGATGAAAAAACGCTCGTATTGAAGGGCTCGTAACGAGGGCTTGCTCTCACGCTAGTCTAAGTTTGGAGCTGGGGCTGAACGTTGTCATATTTTGAGAAGCCTGAAAACGTTCCTGTGATGTTCTCACATTTACAAGCATATGAGACGTTATTGTTTCAATAAATCAATACAGACGTGACCAGGAAACGTATCAAAGTTACAATTGTTTATTGTAATGTGGTATGTCGAGTTTGGTTTCATGGCAAATTTTGCTTAACAAAAGGTAACTAAACAGGTTTACAACGCGAAAACGCAGCTATCTTTCATGCATAATGGTTCATTATTATTTATTCCACTCAGTAAAAGAAAAAAATTAATAACACTTAATTTTAGTCACGCGCGTTATCGTCGTGGGGATAAATGAGCCAAGCGCTTGGTGTCTTTGTACAAAATTTGTGCAACATGCCCTGACATCCGTTCATTTTCCGCCGTTCCATGTTTTAGGATTTGGGGTCATTTTCCGCCGTTCCGTGTTTTAGGATTTGGGGTCATTTTCCGCCGTTCCGTCTTTTAGGATTTGGGGTCATTTTCCGCCATTCCACCATTCCGCCATTCCGGCTTTTAGGGTCGCCCTTCTAGTACAACATTTTTTCTTTGATGTCGTTATGAAGGTATCCTTTAGATTGCACGTGGTCTAAAACACTGCATATCTTTTTAAATATAGAAATACAGTTTGCTTTAGTAACTGCGTTGTTATCGGCCGCTTGATGGAGAGTTACACTTTCATGCTGAACACCATGAAATTGAGTCACAAGGCATAATGGTGAGGCCTTTGTAACAACACCAAAAATCATGGGTAGATGTGGATGGTCCCCCAAAGCAGAAACGACCTTTGCTTCGTGGAGCAAATCTCTCCTTGCTCGTTCTTCATCCTCTGACGTTTCGTTGTGAGTCATTTGCTTGACAATAACGTCGAAGCCTCGATAGCGCCCGAGAAAACACTGTCCAAAGCTTCCACTCCCAACTGGATTTTTAGACAAGTATTCAATGTTTTCTGGCCTGAGTTCTTTGGGTTCAAATCTGGATCCATTGCTCGCTGTGGTTTTTTTTCCAATTAAAAAGGTTTGATGACGTTTCCCACGAGGTTTCTGCGAGACAACTGCGTCGGCACCAACAGCCATTTGAATCATCTTAGCAGCTCTTGAACAACCACCCAAGGCCTCTTTCATCTCTTCACTGCCTGGTTTAAGCGCGAGGATATGGGGTTTCTTGACATTTTGTGGCTCAAAATGTTGGTCCGAAGGAGGCAGTTTCGTTTCCTTAGCCTCAGAAGTACAAGGCACCAACTCATTCGCTTCGCGGTTGAGTGATTGTAGTTCAACATTTTTATTCGTTGAATTCGGCATATGCTTCCCTTGTTTCCTCTTTCTCCATTCTTTTCTCTGTCTGTTTCTTTCTTCTGGAGTGTTTTTTCGTGATTTAATAGCTCGCTCTTTTCGTTCTTCTTCATCTTCAAATTCCTTCACAAATTCCGCCATCATTATGTAGCTAATTGATCTATTTCCGAAACACAAATGAGCTCGTGATCGGTGTAAAAGTATAAAACAAAGGCTTGTTGATGTGCAGGAAATTCAATGCTCGTTTTAATGAACTTGATGATATGTGAAAGCCCGAGTTGCTCTTCAATCGTTTCTGGTTTGCTTTCATTACGCGACATTCTTCTGTCAGAAGAGTGTCGGGAAAAACACCTCGCAAGGATCGTACGTGACAACACCCTCCACGCCTCGACTAACGCTAAAAAAGCTCCATACAATTCCTTATAATTTTATTATAAGGAATTGTATGGAGCTCTCCGGGATACTTACAGTGCAAGCCCTGTGTGTCTTCTCATGGAAACGTGTTAAGTAAAACTGGAGGTAGATTCCCGTAAGTTAATTTGGCCTTCGCCTGTTAAAAGCGATGACCTTCGCGGTATATTCAAGGTACAATAGCAAGAGAAAAAATCGAATAAGTTATCCCAGGGATGTTTGTCATTGATGTCGGTTGGTACTTTGCTCACTATGCTGATAATGCTCACTTTCCTAAATATTGGAGATGGCTGTTCGCAGTCGATGCCAACCACCTCCATATTCACCCGATGCAATTGTTACCATTGCTTCATGGTTTATAGTGTAATGTTTCACTTTGCTGAGACAACAATTGTGATTGACCGAATAGTCATCTGGGGGAAACTAAAATACTCAATTCGCCACGGGAGCGCAGAAGTCCGTGAATAATTTCCGGATAGTATTAATCTGCGGCAACCGAACTTCTAACAAACCAAGGGAAACTAAATTTGACTTGCCTTCACTCGTCTTAAATATTTCACAGTTCTCTCAAATGTAGGTCAGCTTACTCAGGTTAAAATGAAAGCAACATGAAAAATACAGTACAACAAAATGCAAGTTCATTGTGTCATACGCTCAGCTATTTAGTTTGACATTCGGTGTACATATCAACTGTCTCAGTTGTAATAAGGACTATTCTTGAAAGTTCGGTAACGTAAAGAAGAGTAAATTAGTTAAATTAAATTAGATTTTCGGCCACGTCAAGAATAAAGCTAGATTCAGAGTCTAGTTATTGGCAATTTTACCAACCAGCGAGAACGATTACTAAATGTTTTAGCTTAAGATCGTAAAGTTGGTGCGATCACCTGATTCAGGAATCTCAGTTTTCGCCATCCATCGCTTGATAAAAAATCCGTGTTTTTAAAGCTGATAAGTTTTCGTTTGTTAGATTAGATTTTCATTGAAAGAAACATGGCATGCATCAATTTATCATACGTGACCCTCCAAGGGATTTCAGGGAATAAAGTGAACGCGCGCACACGGCACGCTGCAGGCTAAAACAAAAGAACTACCAGCTTTTAACACGCTAGCTGCGTGTTAGTTATTTCCCTTATTTACTTCGCAGCCATTGTCTTGCTTCGCTCGGTAGAAACAAAGGAACGTGTTAAGATCTTGCTTGCAACTTTGCACGATATCATACGGTGACCTTGCCAATTTTATGACACGCCTCTTAAAGTTAAAGTTGCTTTCGATTTGTACATTGAAGTACGTCCTACTCTGAAAGACGTTTTAGCTCACCGATACGCCCAGCCGATACGATACTCAATATCCGGTGCAACTTCGGTGGCTAAATCGCTAAAAATAAAGGAATATCTCGACTTGTTGTCCATCATTTAAAACTATGTTTGAGTTTTTTTCTTCATTTTCGAATTTCGCATTTTCTTATAACAGCTTCCAAAACACGGGCCAAACGAGCAAAGCCCTCTGCATATGAAATCGTGCATGAACTTTTGAAGGTAGCAAGCGAAACCTTTTAAAAATAATAAGAGCGAACCTGTATGATGCATAGCAAATTACTACTTCGTTGAGGGTTAAGTGTGTTCTCGCCGTGTTTGTCTGTTCTGCTAGTCTCCGAGGCATTATTTAATCTATATTGTTAAATTTGTTAGCCCGTGTAATACATTGGTAGCGTTTGCGCTCTCTAAATCGGCGGTGCGGGGTTCGATTCCTGCTCACCACGGGAACGTCATCTTTTTTTTTTTTTTTTCAGATCTGACGGAGTTTACAAAATAATTACATATCTAATATACTTTTTTTTTATTAACTGACAGACTATTTGCCAAGTTTCAAGTGTAATAAATGCCTTTGACTGTCGTCAATTAACCTGTTTGTAAATGCATTATTTTGGGCAGCTAAATGATTTTCTAGTCTGCGTTTTCTACCATCTTTATTCTATTCATAATTAGCAATATTTATATGCTAAGATTTGCCAAAATCAAACCAAGTTAGTAGGCGGTTTTGTTGAACAATGGCTAAACTCTTTTCAAATAACCGACCCATGTAATAGAATAATAATTTAATAGAAATGATAGACTAATTGTGCCATCTCAATATTTTCAAAACATGCCGATTTGTATAGAGTGACGAACAGCGACTGCGTCGATCAGGAGACATGGAGCCGGAAATCTGTTGCTGAAGGATTCACAAAGATTCGGTGCTGGGCTTATTAACTGCGCGAAGCGATAATATAAGCGATTTATATTTTACAAGGTTAAATTAAGTTTTAAAAAAGGAATTAATGTTTTCAAACTGAGCTTCTCTGGACCCTGTGAAACACGTCGTGCTCACAGAATTCCTTGTGAGAATCCTGGGGAGGCCTTTACGGCCCTGGTGCGCAATCCCAAAAAAACCCAAAATGAAAGCTGACGGGTGAAAGGCCGGACGGCTTTGGGTCAGCCGGTCTTGAAAAAGCCGTCAGCCGTGCACTCACATGGCTTTGCTGAAAAAGACTTAAAGGAAAAATAAAAGAGTAAAAAAATTCGCGTTTTTCACTGAATGGTGAGTTTCTTGTTCTGACTCGAAAAAATAAACGAAACGTTTTTACTTTAGATTCGTTTTTTTAGTGATTGTCCTGCGTGCACATGTGTTCGACGTGGTCATTTAATAAAATTCTTATAGACTGAATTTGGTCGGGCCGAATGGGAAAATATTTGGCTCTTGGTCACGAATTCGAAGTAAGGTTTTCACTGCTCTCCGTCCGCAGGTCATAACCTCGAGCTGAATATTTCCAGCCCTGCCACTCAGTCAATAAATACATATTATTTTACATCTATTCATGTTGTTTGACGCCCGGGGCTTAAAGACAAGAATTTGCATCGCAATTTTTTTTACTGCTATCTATGTATAAATCATTGTATGTTTAAAGCTCACCGTTTTAGGTTCGTTTTTGAACTACCACCGAAAATACCATATAGTTTGTTATCGGTCTTAGTTTTAGTGTTTTGTTGAAAGCAAAGACACAGAAAATCGATGCATTGTTAATTTTTGAAAATGATGGAAACAAATTTTGAATCTAGAAATTGTTGTTAACCCCGTTTACGAAGCTTGTTGGAGTTTTGTCTTACGATTGATAACACTTGGAATATCTAAATAAGAGGTGGTTTCATTTTTCATACTAGAAATTCAGTTTTTATTTCACAATTAAATGAAAACAATTACTGTCAGAGCGTACTTTCATAAAAGCTCACAAAATTTACAATAAAATCGTTAACTCACGCTATTTTAATATAACGGAACGGTATATTAAATTAGACTACAATCACTTACTTATTATTTAATATTCACTCACTTACAAATCTAATTTAGTGAACTTTCTCCTTATTCATGGTGAATTCATTATTTTACTTTGAATGCGGTGAAAAGGTCATTTTCTCACACAACTCTTTTGGGTTTTTTGCCCCTATTTACGCTTTTTTAAGTCCAACTAAACTTACTTCCAACAAAATCAACAAACTTATCATGAACTACATAATTAAGAATTACTGTAATTCATGCACGAGAGAAAGGCAAATGGAAACACATGCACTCTAATGTGGAGTTTTTCTGAAAAAGCCACTGGAAACATGTTAGACCCAGGGTATTTCTTATTACTTGGCCTCACGTTTAGAAAATAATTAGAAAATTACCCGAAGTTCTTATCTAGAGCCATAAAACAGAAAGAAAGCGTTTCAGTTTAATGTGACAAAAATCGAAAGGTTGCATTAAAAATTATTATCAGAAGAAATTTTAGGCCACCGTAAAAACATAACTGACATGAAAAGCAATGACTAAGGATTCTTGTTTATTCAGTAGCTGGAAAAGATGTAAGAACAATTTTAAATGTGTAGTTATCAAGTTGTTACCCTTTCTTTTACATTTTCCTCCTTCACTGGATATCTACGGGCACGATCCGGGTTCTTAGTCCAAAGATGACTTCTCTCATTTCTTTTTGTCTCCAGCAGTAAATCAGTGGATTAAGAAGCGAGTTTAATATGGAATATGTTAACCTCCATCGTGTGTCGATGGGGCAAATCTCATAAAGGCCTGTAGCTGTTACGATAAGACAGAAACAAACTGGCAGAAGGCAAACAACTGCAGCAACAACTATAACCACAGTTGTCCTAAGAGCCTTGTTCTCTTTGACAAACCTTTCTACCACATCGTGGGGAAGTTGCTGAGCTTTTATCATTTTTTGGTGCCGAAGTGTCTCTCGATAGATGATGAAATAAGTGAAAGTAAGAAAAAGAGTACATGAAATAGTGATAAGGCCAGTAAAAAAACGGGCTACTGTGAGGAAAGTTATTCTTAAAATCCCATTGATGAAAGCAAAGATCCAAACTGATAGCACTGCTATCTTCATGTTATTATAAGTGACAATGTTTGAGTATTGCATCGTAAATTTGATGGCTATGAGTCTCTCGGACGTAACCAACATCAGATGAAAGAATGAGGCTGTCAATATTACAGTTAGAGATTTGAAACAAAAATGTTCAACCGTGTCACTATTACTGAGACCGAATAATAGGAATATTCTCCACAGGATAAACAATGGCTGGCAAAGGAGACCAGTTAAGGCGTCAGTCACCGCTAAACAGGCCAGCAAGATGTTGCTGTTGGTTTGGAGCCGAGGCGTTGTTTTCACAGCTTTTATCACCAGCAGATTCAGCAGAACTGTGACGGGAAAAGTGATGGTGTTGATGATGATTATGACTGTAGAACCAGCAGCTCGTAGGACATCTGCTTCTCTATCGGTGATGTTCGAAGCGTTCGTAAAACTAGCCAAGGAGAAATTTGCCATGTCGAATTGGAAGCTCAGACGTTTATCCTTCCATGAAATCGGAGAAAGATAAATGCAGGGGGAGATCTGAACCCTTATTTATGTGTTGATTTATAAGTATCTCGTGGGAATGACTTCCCAGTCCACATGTGCACAACAATAAAACAGAACAAAGCGGAATATGAAACACTAAACTCCTCCTTATCAGATGGATTCTCCTCAAGATCTGCCAAAAGATAAATCTTAATCTAAAACTAATCAAGTTCAGTTTTTAATTTTACTTTCTAGATATTGTCAAATATTTCTTTTTTAACAAGTTCAAAATCGTTTCGGTCCCTGGAAGCTTGATCAAAGTTATCGCGATAACTGTAAAAAAGCTTGATTGGCCGGCTCTTCTTCCAACCGAGGCAGGTGCATCTTTCCAATTGAAACTCAGCAAATATCTTCTTAACATTCTGGTGATGACCATCATAATGCTTGTCTGAAATGAAAGAATTATTTTATGGTCTGGATTGGCTTCTAGGGGTTTCTTAAGTACATCCACCCCAATTGTGCTCTCGAAAACAAGTTATTGGTGTATTGCTGCATAACATCGTGGGGCTGTGCACTCTCATGCCCATGGTAAAAGTGAGTCTCGTCATACGGTCTGGATTGACCTGTGATAATGATACCATGGATACTGTTGTGAGAAGCAGACCTCTCTTCGAAATAGGGAAAACAACTATAATCTCATTTCACGAATAACCAAAGTCTGACGCTTGAAAAGGAAACTCTGTTTCCATCACTTTCATAAGAGCGGCTTAAGCCAAATAAAAATATTAACTCAGTCTGTTTAATAATGATGTTGCCCAGACATGAAAGCTGAGCTGAATCACAATTCATGAGTACAAGCACTTAAGTTGATCGGAGAGGCTTTCTCTCCTCAGCCAAAGCTTTCTCCGGTAGCAAAAGTAGCGGCAAAAGGATCACTTGTTATCCAAAACAATTATGCATCACACTTCAGTAAATCCTCAGCTCGCTATATCACCCTACATTAGCCCCAAAGAGTGAAGGAAATTTCCAGTACTCGTGCGAACTATCTTAATCTCTTCCTATTCGTAGACCTTTCTCGATTATTTCCATTTAACATTTTCTCTAGTTGCACCAAGCAAACATTCTGAAACTCTCAATAATATAAACCAAATTATTGATTATGTAAATATAAACTATTGTAATTTATGCGCGAGAAAAATTCAAGTGAGCACACATGCACACGAAAGTAGGGTTGATCAGTCAAAGCACTTAACTCATCGCTGGATTCAGTTTAAAAAAGCCAGCGTTAAGAGATTCTGAGTATTATTAGCCCTTTTATTGATGACCTTAGTGATAAGCAGATCTGGTCGACTAGTGACATACAATGTATCCCTTAAGCTTCACCTAATTAGTCTCGCTTAATATCAATAGCTTGCTTTGCTGGCTTAAAGTTGCCTAATTGTGAGAGTCGGAGCAAACCTTCTCCATGTTCACCGATTCAAACTCATGTTGGTTTATTTTTTCCTATTAAAACTTTTTTACTAGTCTAACCAAACTTATATTTTGTTGCTTCAAAGGGGACTACCACTGATAGCACAATTGGGAAATATTGTAATTTATTTTCGTGGAAAACTCAAGTGGAAAATCATGCAAACCGAAGCGAAGAACGTTGGTAACGCATTGTTTCGAAAGGAAATCATCTAAAATCCCTGAAATTATATCTCATTTCATCCTTTCGAAAACAGCCAAATTTATGTGAATCACATAGATACCACACAAGTGAACATTACTTTTCGCGTGTTGATTTTCTAGATCGGATTTGAGTAGCAAGTACTATTCCGCTCCGAGAAGGCGATGAGACAAAATCGCGAGGTTGAGTTTCGTTTCGAACCATTTTTGGTCTATCGAAAGAAACAAACACATTGTTTGGTTCATGTGTGGTACATACTAAAGCAATTATACGCCTCAGTGTCGTTGAATAAGTATTAACTATTTCCCCATTCACTGATGAAACTTCTTACGAGGCTGACGTGCAGCTAGTTGTAAATTCGTAAAGCTCGCCTCTGAGCTCCCAAATCCGATTTTTCTGTTTTTTTTTTTTGTTTTTTTTTTCGATCGGCCTTACAAAATGCTATCTATGTTCAAGAAAAGTATTAGCTTAACCAGTTGAAATGAAATTAAACATATGTGTGTGGAAAATGAACAATTAGTTGGAAGTTAATCGGTCTACGCAAGTAAGGCATCAAGCGCAGTGTATCTATTCCAAACAATTCTTTACAATGACAGTGGTAGAGATGTTCAGCGTGATATCAAAAAGCGTTACTGATCATGACAAATTAACGAATAATTTGATTTAATTGCAAAATAGAAACTGAACATTTACATGTACATTTCTACGATTAAGGAGAAATAACAGATAAGACTGAAAAAATCGGCCCGCATTGTTCACCCAGAATTGAAGAAACAAAAATTAAATGTGTAAACATCTTGCCAATGACAATTTCTTGAATGCATTCGATCGAGCTTTATGGAAATAGAAGATTGGATGTAATCAATTTGAATTTCTTTACCCAAAGTATGTTTTCCTACAATAATTATCATCAATAACCCTAGTGTAATGAGTTGATGGCAAAAGCGTAAAATATATAATAATTGCAAATCTGAAAACAGAAACTCATCCCAGTTAAAGTGAAGTGACCGTGAAAAGTATCAGAAAATTACTAAAATGATTATCACTGATTTAAGCATAATATTTTGTCGTCATAATAGTGCCTTGTTAAGGACGTTTTTACGATTAATTTTCTCCACCCCTTTTCCCTCTTCCACTAGATGTTTGGATCTACGAACTGGGTTCTTATTCTATGTATGACCTTGCTCACTTATTTTTGTATCCAGAAGTAAATCATTTGATTAACAAGCGAGTTTGATATGGCTCATGTTCGCATGAATAGTTCGTTGACGGGGAAATATCATAAATGCCTGTAATTTAAACGAAGACACAGAACTTAACTGGAAGAAGGCAAAAAGAGAGCAACCCAACCACAAACACAATTTTTTTAAGTGCCTTGCTCTCTTTGGTAAGTCTTCCTTCGCCTTCTTGGAGCAGTTTAGAGTGCATGTGCTACCGCTTGGCTTTTCCTTGCGCATGAATTAGACTCGAAATTCTTAATTGTATTAATCATGTGCATGAAGCTGTTGATTGTGTTGGAATCATAAAATATAAAAGTTTGGTTAGACGAGGAAAAGATTAAATAGGGAAAAGAAAACCCAAAGAGCTGTGTGAGGGAAAATCACTTTCTCACTGTCGTAAATCTACTATACATCCTGAATTCACCATGAGTAATGAAAATGTACACTAGTTCAACAAAATTAGTGGGATTAAGTGGATTGTTTTGGTAAACAATTTAATCCTCAGTCATAGTATCAAAAGCCGGTCTTGTTTTCCTTGTATCGTTTGCTCTTTAGTATAATATTGCATGATCGCTTTCGAACTTCGGTGAAATTACTGACACCCAGTTTATTTCTGAATCTGGTTTTATCTCTGACATAGCCGAAAATTATGAGATTATAAACTCGCTAAAAATATCTTTCTTTCTGATGAAGTAAGCGAAAGCAAGAAACAAAAAACATGAAATGGGGAGAAGGCGAGACCAGTTAATGCGTCAGTCACCGCTAAACAGGCCGACAAAGTGTTGTTGTTCATAGTTGACGTGTTGTATTCACAGTTTTTATCACAAATACGTTACACGGCACAAAAATCCTCGTTCACCGTTAATTTTCCGAAATAGTGAAAGACTGAAAAATTCAACATTATATTAACATTTTCTGATATCTGAAAGCGGATGGCAGATTCGTTGTTCACCCTCAGTAAAACTCAAGTGATTGACAAAGATTTTTTGGTAGAATTTCCAGATATCGCCAAACGTATTTTTACAAGCCCGAAATGGTTTCAGTCCACGAGGGCTTGATTCAAAAGAATATCAACTATTGACATTTTCTTGCTTGATTAGAATTCTACAGAACTAGAAATAAAGCTGGATTCCCTGCTCACATTGATGTATGTTCTCAATTCAAGATTTTTTTCTTTGTCCATCACTCGATAAATGTTTCGTGTTTTTTAGGCTGATTATATTAGTTTTGGCACGTTAGATGAGATTTGCATTTAATTAAAAACGTGCATACCAATTCATTTGAAATCTAGTTTGGTTCGGTGCCATGGGCTTTAAGACAAGTATTTTTACCACGGTTTCTTCATTGCCATCATTGCGTGAATCACGGTCAGTTTACTGGTCGCTTTTTTACACTCATGAACGATAACACTGGCCACCAAAAGTATTCTTTACTATTGTCCAAGAAGAAGAGGTCAGGTTTATCAAAGAGAACAAAGCTCCTCAAATAACTGTGTTTGTGTGTATGCAGCCAAATAGATACTTGGCGCGACAAAACATTTCCATACCTATTGTTGGGACTTTGAAGCCCGTTTCTTCTGCACAATTTCTCCTTGTTCGCGAGGTCTGCAAAGGTTATTTTGTTCAAGTATGGAACAAAAAGAACGAAAAACCACATTGATGATTATAGCGTACGGTCCTACAGAATATTTCCATTTCAATCGTGGGGAAAGTTTTCATTTTTATTTAAAGACTTTGAAGCCCTTTCTTCCCAATTGAGTATCCTCATGCATATTTCCTCTTCAGTTGTAAGGACTGCACGGGTGTATTTTGATCAAGGATAGGGTGAGAAAAAGAAAAAACCAGCCAGTCCTAAGATAGACGCCACTTTGAAAAATGTTGATAACTCCATGTATTTAGGCAAAAATTCGGCCTTTTTATCACAGCTTCCTTGTCCCTCTGGTTAGGCGGCTTTTGGTGATTCCGATTCGGTTTTTTCCTATATTGTAGATGGGCTGACAAGTGAAATGATGAGTCATTCTCAGGAAATGCCACTCTCTATCAAAGGAATCTGATTTCCCCTGCCTTTTCCTTCCTCCATTTCCATGCAGAATTGAATTT